ACTCGCTTATCCAACTTCCTGTAACATCAATGCGACCACACAAAATGCGCGACGCTGTGTCTAGATAGACTATTACTAAAACAATCCCTAGTCTAACTTCACTGACTACTCTATGTAAACATCTGTAAAACATATGTTACAATGTGATATTTTACACCCCTTTCATCACTTTTTCGACCGAAAATTTTTTCCGCCGGATTTCAAACATTACCCAGGCAGCTAAGGAACGCATCTGAAAAAGACTGATCTACGGAGAAATTCTAAGCTTCAGAGAGTCGGATCCAGTATTTTTAAAGACGGAGGATGGTTAAGAGCGATTAAGGCGCCGCGGGTGGAAGCGGAGGATAGCAGAATGCTCGCCATCTTGGTTCTTGGAACATTTTCAGCTTTATATACTGATCGCAACGATTTCTTTTCGGAGGAAACACTTCATTGATGGAGAGATGTTGGGGTGAGCGGGGTGGGAGGGTTAATTAAAAATAGACACAGCAAAACAGTTATTGCATTAGCATTCATAATTTTAATTCTGTATCATAAAAATATCGCAAAGCTTGCAAAGAGTGCACAATTTCATCGGCACCAGTACGTACTTCCCCACACGACCGCGCGCTACGCACGCACATGCACGCACGCCACGCACGCTTCAGGGATGTCTACTGGTAGAATGTTATCATATAAATCCATGCAAGGATAACTCCTCTTCATTTTAAATGCATACTCTTTGCAAAATATGATTCTTCTCGGGCGATATTGCGCATGCGCGAGCACCGTTTCAGGCGTGCAGTACGGACTAAAGAAAACGGCATAATATTGCTTCCTGAGAGGGGTAAGAGACTAAAGAAAAGCGGCAGGGAAGATAGCTGAGGCGGGTAGAAAAAGAATTAGGCTGAGCGAGGGACAGGGGAGACAAAGGGAAATACGGGAAAGGGTGAAGTAGCAGTTTTGCACCTTTCAGGCTAGGGCGCTCTCCTAATTATAAACACAGGTGTACTGATAACAATTAATTACAGATATCTATGCTGAGATACTCCCTAACCATATTAAATGAATATTCATTACAAAATATAACTCCTCTGGTAAGATATTGCGCATGCGTCAACACACTAACGTAGCCAGATTATGTACTGACTGGTATATCTAGTAGGCACCTTACATGCAAGGCCTTCTTCCTATTTATTAAGGGATGTCTACTGATAGAATGTTATCATATAAATCCATGCTAGGATAACTCCTCTTCATTTTAAATGCATACTCTTTGAAAATATGATTCTTCTCGGGCGATATTGCGCATGCGCGAGCACCGTTTCAGGCGTGCAGTACGGACTAAAGAAAACGGCATAATATAGCTTGCTGTGGGAGAGAGGGGTAAGAGACTGAAGAAAATCGGCAGGGAAGAGAGCTGAGGGGAGGTAGAAGAAGAATTAGGCTAAACGAGAGACAGGGGAGACAATGGGAAATACGGAAAGGGGTGAAGTAGCAGTTTTGCACCCTACAGGCTATGGCGCTCTCCTAATTATAAACACAGGTGTACTGATAACAATTAATTACGAAAATCTATGCTGAGATACCCCCTAACCATATTAAATGCATATTCATCACAAAATATAACTCCTCTGGTAAGGTATTGCGCATGCGTCAACATACTAACGTAGCCAGGTTATGTACTGACTGGTATATGTAGTGGGCACCTTACATGCAAGGCCTTCTTCCTAATTATTAAGGGATGTCTACTGATAGATTGTTATCATATAAATCCATGCTAGGATAACTCCTCTTCATTTTAAATGCATAATCTTTGCAAAATATTTCTTCTCAGGAGATATTGCGCATGCGCGAGCACCGTTTCAGGCGTGTAGTACCGACTAAAGAAAACTGCATAATATAGCTTGCTCTGAGAGAGAGGGGTAAAAAACTGAGGAAAAGCGGCAAGGAAGATAGCTGAGTGGCGGTAGAAGAAGAATTAGGCTGAGCGAGGGACAGGGGAGACAATGGGAAATACGGGAAGGGGCGAAGTAGCAGTTTTGCACCCTACAGGCTAGGGCGCTCTCCTAATTATAAACACAGGTGTACTGATAACAATTAATTACAGATATCTATGCTGAGATACCACCCAACCATATTAAATGCATATTCATCACAAAATATAACTCCGCTGGTAAGATATTGCGCATGCGTCAACCCTAACGTAGCCAGGTTATGTACTGACTGGTATATGTAGTGGGCAGCTTACATGCAAGGCCTTCCTCCTATTTATTAAGGGATGTCTTCTGATAGAATGTTATCATATAAATCCATGCTAGGATATAACTTCTCTTTATTTTAAATGCATACTCTTTGCAAAATATGATTCTTCTCGGGATATATTGCGCATGTGCGAGCACCGTTTTAGGCGTGCAGTACGGACTAAAGAAAACTGCATAATATAGCTTGCTGTGGGAGAGAGAGGAAGGGGGGTAATGAGACTGAAACGAAAAGCGGGCAGGGCGACAGCTGAGGGGCGGTAGAAGAAGAATTAGGCTGAGCGAGGGACAGGGGAGACAATGGGAAATACGGGAAAGGGTGAAGTAGCAGTTTTGCACCTTACAGGCTAGGGCGCTCTCCTAATTATAAACACAGGTGTACTGATAACAATTAATTACAGAAATCTATGCTGAGATACCCCTAACCATATTAAATGCATATTCATCACAAAATATAACTCCGCTGGTAAGATATTGCGCATGCGTCAACACTCTAACGTATCCAGGTTATGTACTGACTGGTATGTAGTGGGCACCTTACATGCAAGGCCTTCTTCCTAATTATTAAGGGATGTCTACTGATAGATTGTTAACATATAAATCCATGCTAGGATAACTCCTCTTTATTTTAAATGCATAATTTTTGCAAAATATTTCTTCTCGGGAGATATTGCGCACGCGCGGTCACCATTTCAGGTGTGTAGTACCGACTAAAGAAAACTGCATAATATAGCTTGCTGTGGGAGAGAGGGGTAAGAGACTGAAGAAAAGCGGCAGGGACGACAGCTGAGGGGCGGTAGAAGAAGAATTAGGCTGAGCGAGGGACAGGGGAGACAATGGGAAATACGGGAAAGGGTGAAGTAGCAGTTTTGCACCCTACAGGCTAGGGCGCTCTCCTAATTATAAACACAGGTGTACTGATAACAATTAATTACAGATATCTATGCTGAGATACCACCCAACCATATTAAATGCATATTCATCACAAAATATAACTCCGCTGGTAATATATTGCGCATGAGTCAACACACTAACGTAGCCAGGTTATGTACTGACTGGTATATGTAGTGGGCAGCTTACATGCAAGGCCTTCTTCCTAATTATTAAGGGATGTCTACTGATAGATTGTTAGCATATAAATCCATGCTAGGATAACTCCTCTTCATTTTAAATGCATAATCTTTGCAAAATATTTCTTGTCGGGGGATATTGGGCATGCGCGGTTACCGTTTCAGGCGTGCAGTACGGACTAAAGAAAACTGCATAATATAGCTTGCTCTGAGAGAGAGGTAAGAAACTGAGGAAAAGCGACAGGGAAGATAGCTAAGGGGCGGTAGAAGAAGAATTAGGCTGAGCGAGGGACAGGGGAGACAATGGGAAATACGGGAAAGGGTGAAGTAGCAGTTTTGCACCCTACAGGCTAGGGCGCTCTCCTAATTATTAACAAAGGTGTACTGATAACAATTAATTACAAAAATCTATGCTGAGATACCCCTCAACCATATTAAATGCATATTCATCACAAAATATCACTCCGCTGGTAAGATATTGCGCATGAGTCAACACACTAACGTAGCCAGGTTATGTACTGACTGGTATATGTAGTGGGCACCTTACATGCAAGGCCTTCTTCCTATTTATTAAGGGATGTCTACTGATAGAATGTTATCATATAAATCCATGCTAAGATAACTCCTCTTTATTTTAAATGCATAATCATTGCAAAATATGATTCTTCTCGGGAGATANCGCCTGTGCACAAACAACACTGGCCCACCTGGTACTACAGTATCAACGAAGATGCACAACTCTTGTCACGATGGATTCGACAAAAAAAGAGATGTTTTCTCACCTTTCCGGTAATCTTTGGGAACCTGAAGAAGACAGGTCGGCTTACACTGACGACTTGAGGCCATTTACAGGCAGAACAGAAGCTGAAGCTGACAGCACACAGCAGACAGTTGCAGCAGTAGCAGATAGAGCAGCATCCGGGTCAACTCGTGTGAACTTGCCTTCCTAAATGCGGTTTGTGGCGACCATGACCTACTACGCTATTATTGGAGAGTGGTCATCTTGTGCCTAACGGCACTATACGAGTCTTTGGTGTGAACGCTTCGTCCCGGGACGCATTTTTCGTTTTCGACCCGAGTTCCTTCCGCTAGTGTGAACGGCCGGCTATAGAAACGGAGCGTTTGGATAGCGGTTCGGGCGCTAGAATTTGTTTCATTTCTTGAAACCGCTATATATATATATATATATATATAATTATATAGGGAGGGAAGGATATGGAGAGGGAGATAGAGATAGCGCGAGCGAGCGAGCGAGCAAGAGCGAGAGAGAGTGAGAGAGAGACAGGGGGAGAGAGCGATGGAGCGAGAGGGGGGAAGGGAGACTGCATATCCATCCTATTTACACAACCTACACTGAACTAACGACACGAGTATCCTCACGCGTACAATTACAGCGCGAGAGCAAAATCCTCCGAGCCGTCGCCATGACGACGGAGGCGTCTGCCAACGCAACCGCCGCCGCGGGGAACGCCACCAGCGCCGCCGCTCTGCCCATCATCAACCCGCTGCTCGTCGGCTACCCGCTGCTGCGCTGGATCGTCGTCGCCCTCGTCGGCATCGAGGCGACGGCGACGTGCATCTGCAACGTCCTCGTCCTGCGCGTCATCGCGTCGGAGAAGAAGAAGACGAAGCTGCATCTGCTCATCGGTAACCTGGCGGTCGCCGACGCCGGTGTCGGCTTCACCGTGTTCTCCACGCCGTGCAGATGGCCGCCGGCTTCTGGCCGCTCGGCTACACCGGCTGCGCCGTGTGGCTGATCACGGACGGAGTGTTCACGAGCGCGACCATCTACATCGTCTTCACGATCTCCGTCGATCGGGTGATGTCGGTGACGCGGCCGCTCCACTACCGCACCGCCGTCACGAAAGCCACCGTCGCCGTCGTCGTCGTGCCGTGGTTGCTGGCGGCCGGCTTCCCGGTGCCCGTCTACGCCGGCGAGCAGATACCGGAGTACACGTGCCGCGCCGACTGGGTGAACCACCAGGCCGCGCTGCAGGTGTATACGATCGTGCTCTTCTACGCGCCACTGATCGTCATCACTATCTGCTGCGCGCGCATCGCTGCCGCCGTGCTGAGCAGGAGCAAGATGAAGCCCGGCGGCGCTACGGTGGCGCCATCCGACGTCGACAACGGCACCGTCAGCGGCGTCGGAGTCTTCGTCGTTTCGACGACGCATGCTGGCCAGGCGGCGACCGGCCCCGGGGTTTCCTCCGTGGCTTCCTCCGTGACAGAGGGGGAGCGGGAGAGGAGCCGGAAGGCGGCGAAGGCGCTGCGGCGCGAGCAGGTCGTAGCAATGACGATGTGTCTCATCGTCTTCTCGTTCATCTGCTGCTGGTGTCCGTGGAGCTTCTATCTGGCGATGATCAGCTACAATCCGGCTTTTTTCTCGCAGGCGATATTCAACTTCGTCTGGGCGATGCCCTATCACAATTCGCTGCTCGATCCGATTCTGTACAACGTGACGAACGCCGAGTTTCGGAAGAAATTCATCAAGCTGGTTTGCTTTTGGAAGTGATGACCCGAAATCGACAAGGGCAAGGCAGCGTCGATGTTTGTGGACAAGAATAGCGCCCTCGTGCCCAGCATATTGTGAGCCATGCACTGACTGAACGCCGCTTATCACAACGCGCCACCGGACTAAACGCCAACCACGAGGGCGAGCGCAATGGCCGCGTACGTGTTACCGACAGACATTAACACGGGTATCAACCCGTCCAGGACACGTAGGAAGCTGGACAAATAATTCCACAAATTATTGTTAAGTTATTATATACAGCCCACTGCAATTTACTATTGCGGGAGGTGTGCAATGCCAGGAGATGCATCAATGGAGAGAAAGAACGAAAGGCGTCGGTCAGTTTCAATACTGGAATAATTCAGAAAAAGTAGAGATTCTAATTCTGCAAGGGGGGACACCCCAGCCGTTCCGAAGACCACGCCCCAGTCATACAGAGGCTACCGTCGCCTCGGCAGAGAGTCGAAGCCGCGGAAAGGCGCGTCTTAACTAAGCCCATTGCACCCGCAATGTGCATATACGTTTCCGTACGGCACTCCGTAATCCGCGTCGCATCATCCGGGTCCACGGTCGGAACGCAATGAAGCCAACGGTTTTAGTATGTTTCCTTGCGTCTTGCTGCCGTTACCGTAAAAAAACAAAAACAAAGAAATAAAATATCGTCTGTAAACACGACGAATAAACCGAATATATTAACCTGTGTCTAATTTAGATTCAATTTTAAAATTATTGATATTGATTGGGGGTATTTTGCTACGCGTAACGTTTTGCAATCTTGCAGCCCAGAGTTGTGATAGCCATCGGTGATTTTTATAAGTAATATATATATATATATATATATATATATAAATATATATATATACCTGTGATCGGTGAACTAGATGCGTGTGGATAATAAGTGGGGAGGAGACCACTGGGGGCGAAGTAGCTGGCAAATGGCAAGGAAGGCGCGGCGAAGAGATAGAGGCAGTAGTAGGCAGACAAGAGTCAAGAGTTAGGGCAGTAGAAGAGATAGAGGCAGTACAGGGGGAGACAGAGAGAGAGAAAAAAAACGAGAAAGGGAAGGGAAAGGAAAAAAATTCAAAGTTGGGGGGGGGGAGTGAAGGAGAGGGAAAGGGAGAGAGCAATCTCAAAAGAGAGGGCCACAACCACACTCGCGGGAAAGGCAAAGAGCATTTATGGGCTGAATTTAGAGAAGGAGACGAGGAACAGGAAACGGGAGGCTGAGGATGTTGCGAAGGTGTACAGCGATGTGAAACAACGATAAATGCATGAAGAGCGCAGATAGCGTGAAATTGATTCTCAGAAAGAGCCGCATGGAAGGAAGTAAGCAGCATTCAGAACACGAACAGAGATCAGTGTTTCAGGATGCCTACATATATAGGTGAGGTACCGCGCGGACATTATTTGTTAACGTTGTTATTTTAGTACACAGTCAAACCTCTTGTTAGCGGAAACCTCTATGGAACGGCCACCTTTCCTCAACGGCCACTTTTGCCGTTTTCCTCGAGTGGTGGTTATACAATGAAAACACCTCTGTGGAATTGGCTCACCTGTCAATTAAGGCCATTTTTGATGTTGCCATTTAATACCCGCTACATACAGGTTTGCTTGGGTGTTCTGCACATTATTATTGGTATATTACTGGTGTTGTTTAAGGTGTCTTTAGATGTCGTTTATGTATTATTATAGTTTATGTGCGTGAACGGCTTAAAGGTTCTACGTCAATCGCTCTATAGTGTTACGAGCGCGCGCGTACCACTCTCGTAAAATTTCTGTATTATGTCGTGCGAAAGTTGCGAATCACTTTTGTGTCACGAGCGCGCGCGTACCACTCTCGTAAAATTTCTGTATTATGTCGTGCGAAAGTTGCGAATTTTTCAAACTTTTGTGTCACGTTAAGTCTTTGCGGTCGCTGTCGTGGAGTTCTCATCTTCGTTTTCTTCGTAAAAATTTTGCTGGTATTAATTCGTTTGCGAAAGTTGCGAATGCAATTTTGTTGTCACGAGCTGCAGCGCTGGTAACCACTCGTAGTTATATTGTATATATGCGGTGCGGAGTCAGAGTCCTCAGCTTCTGACGTCAATAACCACTGCTTCCGTGGTCACGCGCGTGTGCGTTACATTAAATAATAATTAGCGGTGTTATTAAATGTTATTAAATGTTATTAAGTGTTATTAAATAATTAGCGGTGTTATTAAAAATAAATTCAGCTGGTTGTTATAGTTAGCATTATTACAACATTAAAGTGTATGGGTGTGCAAGCAGAATATACGTCATGAGGAATTTTATTAGACTGTTAAGGCGCGTCGAGAGATGTCGCATCGCGAGTAAAAATTAGTCTAATTTTTTCTCTAAACACTAGTGTATTCTGACTGGTGATCTATTCGACTTAATTGACTTTGACTATGATATAAAGTGCCGGTTGCCAGCTTAAGTCTACGTTAGGTAATTAATATGTTTGTGCGTGACGCTTAAGGCACGTCAATCGCTCTATAGTGTTACGAGCGCGCGCGTACCACTCTCGTAAAATTTCTGTAATATATCGTCGTGCGAAAAGCTTGCGGAATCGACGTTTGTGTACGAGCGCTGGCGGCGGTACCACTCTCGTAAAATTTTGTATATGCGTGACAGAAACATGTTGCGAATCACTTTTGTGTCACGAGCGCGCGCGTACCACTCGTGTTATAATGCGGTGCGTGTCAGAGTCTCACTCCTACGTCAAACCCGCCCGTTTCACGCGCGTGTGCGTTACATTAAATAATAATTAGCGGTGTTATTAAATAATTAGCGGTGTTATTAAATAATTAGCGGTGTTAGTTAGCATTAACAACATTAAAGTGTAGGGTGCACGCAGAACTTTTATAGAGCTGTTAAGGCGCGTCGAGAGAGTCGCATCCGTAAATTAGTCTAATTTTTCTCTACTGTGTTTCTGACTGTGATCCATTGATCTTGATAATGATAAAGTGCCGGCTAAGAATTATCTACTGCTATAGACTGCTTATCGAGTGCTCGATATAATAGTCCGTAGAATAACCGAGATGGTTGTATAAAACTCCTGCCGTGTCATCACTATTGAGATTTAGAATAGTAGCCGATGTATATATTTTTCCAGAACTAAATATTGGGTACGAACACCGAGGTGTACGTGCACGAACACCGAGGTGTGCACGAACATCGAGGTGTGCACGAACTCCGAGGTGTGCACGAACACCCGAGGTGTGCACGAACATCGAGGTGTGCACGAACACCCGAGGTGTGCACGACGAACACCGAGGGTGCGCGAAACTCCGAGGTGTGCACGAACACCGAGGTGTGCACGAACACCGAGGGGTGCATGAACAGTGAACAGAATTAAAAATCGATACAGCAAAACAGTTATTGCATTAGCATTCATCATTTTAATTCTGTATCATAAAAATATCGCAAAGCTTGCAAAGAGGGCACAATTTCATCGGCACCAGACTCTAGTACGTACTTCCCAACACGCACGCGCGCTACGCACTCACATGCACACACGCCACGCACGCTTCAGGGATGTCTACTGATAGATTGTTATCATATAAATCCATGCAAGGATAACTCCTCTTCATTTTAAATGCATAATCATTGCAAAATATTCTTCTTCTCGGGAGATATTGCGCATGCGCGAGCACCGTTTCAGACGTGTAGTACCGACTAAAGAAAACTGCTGATTATGCTATGCTGCGGGAGAGAGGGGTAAGAGACTGAAGAAAAGCGGCAGGAGAAGATAGCTGAGGGGCGGTAGAAGAAGAATTAGGCTGAGCGCAGGGCAGGGGAGACAATGGAAATCCGGGAAGGGCGGTAGTAGCAGTTTTGCACCCTTCAGGCTAGGGCGCTCTCCTAATTATAAACACAGGTGTACTGATAACAATTAATTACAGATATCTATGCTGAGATAACCCCCAACCATATTAAATGCGTATTCATCACAAAATATAACTTCGCTGGTAAGATATTGCGCATGCGTCAACACTCTAACGTATCCAGGTTATGTACTGACTGGTATAATTATTATGTAGTGGGCACCTTACATGCAAGGCCTTCTTCCTAATTATTAAGGGATGTCTACTGATAGATTGTTAACATATAAATCCATGCTAGGATACTCCTCTTTATTTTAAATCCATAATTTTTGCAAAATATTTCTTCTCGGGAGATATTGCGCACGCGCGGTCACCATTTCAGGTGAGCAGTACGGACTAAAGAAAACTGCATAATATAGCTTGCTCTGAGAGAGAGGGGCAAGAAACTAAGGAAAATCGGCAGGGAAGATAGCTGAGGGGCGGTAGAAGAAGAATTAGGCTGAGCGAGGGATAGGGGAGATAATGGGAAATACGGGAAAGGGTGAAGTAGCAGTTTTGCACCCTACAGGCTAGGGCGCTCTCTCCTAATATAAAACACAAGGTGTTCTGATAACAATTAATTACAGATATCTATGCTGAGATACCCCACCCAACCATATTAAATGCCATATTCATCACAAAATATAACTCCGCTGGTAAGATATTGCGCATGCGTCAACACACTAACGTAGCCAGATTATGTACTGACTGGTATATCTAGTAGGCACCTTACATGCAAGGCCTTCTTCCTATTTTAGTATTTATTAAGAGATGTCTTCTGATAGAATGTTATCATATAAATCCATGCTAGGATATAACTTCTCTTTATTTTAAAAATGCATACTCTTTGCAAAATATGATTCTTCTCGGGATATATTGCGCATCGTGGCGAGCACCGTTTAATTCGTGCCAGGCTCAGGACTAAAAGAAACACTAGCATAACTATAGCTTGGCTGTGCAGAGGAGGGTATTAAGAGCAAAGGAAATTGACAAGGGAAGACAGCTGAGCGGGTGGTAAGAAAAGCATTACGGCTGAAGGCGAGGACAGGGGAGCAATGGGAAATACGGGAAAGGGGAAGTAGCAGATTTGCACCTAACAGCTAGGGCGCTCGCCCTCACTATTAGTAAACGCCACGGTGTATAACTGCTTAGTCTCGTCGTTCCCTCGTCACCTTACCTCTCTCGTCCGTCTCTCTCTCTTATCAATTTAATTTCTCTGCCCCTCTTCCCCACAGATATTTCCTCAACCACGTGGCACTCTCTCTCTGCTGCACGCCCACTCAATAACTCGAGCAGCTGAGCAGGCCCCAAACGCCCGCACCATTCATTCTCTCTCTCTCTCTCTCTCACGCACACTCATACTCACACTGACAGGCACAAACGCACACATTCTTCGGTATAATCACTTTATGGTGTACTTGTTGTCAGATACCCATCGCTATCTGACCCTGAAATCTAAGACTTCTTTTCCCCCGATAGTTCTCGATGAGTATCACGAGTATAGGTAGTAGACTGATCTATAGGCGCGTCCCTCCCGGGATCTGATGTGTTCGTCATGGCACCGGTAGTAAATAGCTTGATGTGTAACCAGCGAATGCTTTCTCTAATATATACAGTTTCGCCGCTACTCGTGGTTTGCCGGCTAGAATAGGGCGCTGAACGACCGACTATAGGTGGTTTTACGACACTTCTGTGTGGCTATATGACCACTATATACACCTTAGATGCATGATTAAGTCCGCGAAAAGAAACGTCCAGACAAAAGATGTGTGGCCGTGCGTGTCGTCGTATATAGCCGTATAGCTGGGCACGGCTGGCGTTTGCAAACATATCAGCTTTCGTTGATAATGAATCGGAATAATATTAGAAATCGACCTCGAATGCGCTATAGATACGCTTATTANACTATCGATTGACTTACAATTTCTCCTCTTACTAAGGGAGGTATTTGCTCCAGAGGATAGAGGTGCAGGCGCCATCTGGTGTTGCTGCTGCGTGCGAGCTTCTGCTCCAGCTCGTTCACTTTGTTTCTTGAGAGCGGCGATATCTCGTTCAGACTCGGCTTTGATGTGCTGAAGTTTCTGAGCACGTGATCATCGCAAACATCATTCCATGCGTCGGTCACATCCTCAATTACGAGATGCAATCCTAACACTTTTCCTCGACGTAGATTTGATCATGTTTTAGAACACGCTAACTTGAATATACACTATTAGATGAGATTTAGACGTAAGAGATATAATAATAGTAGAGTAAGAGACAGTAGTAGAGATTTAAATATGATATTAAATCCTACGCTTTTCCTCGACGTAGATTTGATAATCTTTAGAACACGCTAACTTGCATATACACTAGAGCCGCGTTCACATGGAGCAATTTGACCTGGGTCGAAAACAACCCGGGTCAAATGCGTCCCGGGCCAAGCGTTCACACGACGTTTTCTCGGTACGAAAACGACCCGTGTCGTTTTCGCACCCCACTCCAGAGTAGTACGAAAACGATCCAGGTCGAAATTGACCCGAGCGCTGGTTCATTTTTGCCGTGTGAACGCACCGACACACGACCCTGGTCAGAATTAGTACGGCGGTAGACGTCGCCAGTGTGGAGAGCCAGAGTTAACACAGAGTTGCTGTGCATTGATTGTTTAATTCTCATTGTTCGCCTGCTTGTTGTCTTGGACGCATTGTTTTTTTTTCAACTCGCAGCTCGCATAGCATAGAGGCATGTCCTAGAACTGATCGATCAAACGTCGTGTGAACACTCTCTTCAAAATCGACCCGTGTCGTTTTTGATCCGGGTCAGTCTCGGATCGTTTTCGACTCGGCGTTTTCGCTCCGTGTGAACGCGGCTTATTAGATGCAATCTAGACGTAAGAGATATAATAATAGTAGAGTAAGAGTCTAAGAGACAATAGTAGAGATTTAAATATGAGATGAAATCCTAACATCTTTCCTCGATGTAGATTTGATCATGTTTAGCACACGCTAACTTGCATAAACCTGACAGACAGACCTCGCGTAGCGATGCTGATCGGTTCAGCAAAAACCACCTCACACGAATTATTGTTAAACGATGTGGGAGTCGCACGTAAAAGGCTTAATTCGTTTCCAATACCGTTGGAGCTTGGGGACAAGTATGAAGTATGATCATTTCTGCATCCCTCACAGGTCTACGCTGCATTCACTGCATTTCACTTTGTTGCAAACGTTACCTTTCTAAACACTTCGCTTCCAGATGATGTCATGTGGTTAACGGCTTGCTGCACTTTACTGTTCTTGGTCTGCAGCTTCAGTAGTTTATTGTCGTACTGTAACAACGTAAGAAGAAGAGCTACACCATTACCCAATGATCTATCTACTAAATCAAACTATCAACGCGCATAATGCGCATTTGATTTGCAATCTACTCTTCCATACTGATAGTAAGACACTGAATCTCTGCTCACCCGCTTCTTCAAATTCACAAGCGGAATAGAAGGCAGATTTACCGAAAAGCAGTAGGTGCTGATTTTAACGTGTCGGGTGGCTAAGTTTCAGATCGAACGGACTGATGGCCTGATGTACGTGTGACAATTCAATACCTCTAATCGGAGTTTCATTATTTTTGCATCCTTCTCTTTTAGCAGTTCGCTGTGTGCCTGGCGTGTGACCTGCAAAGCTTGCTCCTTCTGCTGAAGTCTCTGTCGATAGTAGAGAAAATGATTGAACTTCGTGTGCATGCAGCTGCTTTGGGGCACTGGTAACAGTGCATCTGATACAGATACTCATTCTGACAACTCTGCATAAATAGACCTATCACTGCAGATTTATGATATATGCTATCTAGCACTTTCTGCGCATCACTTGGGAGTACGATAATTGTTCACATTCCTTGAAGGATATCTATTTAATTGTGATGAAATACAACTATAACTATGCAATTAGCATGAGTATTGGCATGCACATACTATTCCTTTGTAAAAGACAGCAAGGTTTCGCTGACGGCTGCTACTTTTTTCCAGGTACAATCCACCGCAGCATAGCATTTTTGGCAATTGACTAGAAATGCCAACTTCCGAGATTTGTGTTGTAATTCACTTACTGCTCAGTTCAAATAATTTAAGTGCACAATTATAATAAATAAAAAAAATAAAAAAAAGAATAATATATATACATATATATTTGATGCTCCATATTATGTCTTTTAACCATGTTGAACTATTCACAATGTTAAAATGTTATTACTAGGTTTAAAATGTGAGAAGCTCAGTTCAAACATCACGTGTGAGCAGAGGGTAGGAAACGCACCATTCGTAGTCTAATGAGTGAACTTTTATTTATAGCAGAATGTACACAATATAGTCCATTTTGCAACAATATTTCACTCGTGAGAGCTAGAGAAACGATACACACAATAACACTTCATTAACATACTGTGAGGTCCCTACCTAATACCATCGTCATGGTAGTTCATGCTCAAACATCGACCAATTTACACTTGTCGACTACCCTCAAAGCTGTGCGACGTAAAATACTTTCTGAACATCAAATCGTATTGTAAGCACGATTTTAGAAATGCATTTCAAAAGCATTTTATCTAGCGTTTAGAAAATACAAAATAATGGGCCAAATCCGACACACGACACTCGACACAATTTAGACTTATATAACTTAATGGGAAAATGGAATACATATATAAAGAGAGAGAGAGAGTAAGAGTGAGAGTATTGTAAGAGTGACATGAGATTTCGCCCATATTTCTAAACAAGCATGATGAAGTGTCATATTTTAATTCTTGCCATACAATAGTAAATTATTACTTGTACTAGACAATAAGCACTAAACAATGAAAATGTCAATCATCAAAAACTCAAACATGGTATATTAAGATGATTATAAACGTGTATATTCCAATAATATCCTACTTTATACAGTAATTCACAACCAAAAAACAAGCACAATTTCTAAAACAATATATCTGCACAAACATAGCTGTACACAACAATTTTGATTTTATTCTAGGAAACACTAGCAGTAAGCTAATGTACACAGTATGGCTGTGATTGAACTACAACACACATAATACAATAACTGAAACCCCAGCATGCTCATCACATATAAGCAAATTCAAAACCAACATGGCGTATAACGACATGTATGAGTAACTGGGTGGATTAAGTAGATAATTGACACAATTTGCGTAATATATTATTAACACAACCAAGTAAGACTGTAAGTCTATAACATAATTGATCGATTTCAGCAAAACTAGAAACCCGGCTGTTAGTAATCTACTGGCTCGGCAAGGGTCCCCAATGACTTCAAATTTTCGTTATATGCTAACTGTGGCTGCACGAAGAGTATGCCATCGAACCAAACCCACCACCAAGGTTAATCGCAGGAAAGAAAACGATGAGAACCGAGGCTGTAAAGTTAAATTGATAGTTGTTATACTCTTATGACTTAAATGATAAGACCTTGGGACATTCTGCCACTAGTAAAATTGTCTAGGCATCACCTTTGATTATCACGTCTGAAAAATAGATTCGCTGGCTCATTATTCATCAAGTAGGCAAAAATCCCATCTCAAAACCTAACCTGCCATGGCATGATTAACAGTCACCTGCTTAGAATTAGTTCGCACATGATTTAGGGGTAGCTTAACGTATTTGACAATGCTATGCTTGACTATTCAAAATAAATACGCTTTAAAATAGTTACGCTAAAATTATACGTGCCACAACTAAGCAGTTGTTAAAGCGGCAAACGTCGTTTAACATCGGGCATTCGTTACGACAACAGACACTAAGTCATCACCACATAAAGAAAGTACGCTCCCCACTATATCACATAGGCCTAACTGCGAAAACTGTAAGAAACCTAAATTAATGACAGTCAACGAAAGCACCTGCTGCAGCATCCTCTAGTAAGGTGCATCGAGAGAAAGAGACTGCCAGTCTCAGACATCTAGAGTGTTGTCGTGACAAAAATCCGACAGTCCCCGTTCACGTTAGTTACGATCAGGAGCTAAAGAACCTACGGCTTTACAACAAACTGAAATACTTTCGTGTGATAAAATCTTAGGAAATAACCTGTGCCTTTCTCAACTGACGACCGATATCAAAGTAATGCTGGTAGAATAACGCGGATATACTGCGTGCCTAATGTGGCCCAGAACGTGGACGGAGATAGAAACTACTAACATATCTACGACGGAAAATACTTAGCGAAACTCTAAACATTTCGACACCCCAAAATCAATTTAACGGTTTCACGATTTTGTATTAACTTGAGAATTACAAATTGACAATTGAAAAATAAAGCGGCACTGACACTAATGCTTCCTAAGTTTAACCAGAGCACCTATTGTATCCCCTGCCCAAACTGAGTGATCTTATTCGAACTCTGTATTGTATCTACATATGCTTTTTTACAAACTTGCCCATGCATGTCAATTGTCAAATTGGTCTCTGTAACTCTGTACAACACACGCTACTAAACTACGCAGAGAAATGCTCATCTGATGCCAAATCGATGTGCCATGCCCATATTTACATTACAATGTCAACAAATTTTAACTCGTCTTTGTATTTTCGGAAGCATGATAATAAATAGTACAAAATCGCAACTTGGAAATAATTATGAAAACCGGAGAATGGAAGGGGCCGATTCATTCAACATTCTTCTCTTTTCATGCAACGAAAATAAATTCTCCACTGTAGGCTCTGTTGGAAGAATACACTTTCAAATAACAAAATCTTATAATATTACTTCATACCTAAGTACTGATTATTTATAAGTGAATAAATGATACAAGCAGTTCCACTACGGTCAGCTAGGAACATGCTATCGGCACCTGTTAAACAGGCTGACAATATGTAAAAAAAACTAGCAAATATTAAATACAGAAAAAATACACAACCACTGCGAGGCTTTTGCTTACCATTTCTGTGCCACAGGCCAGAAACAAAGGCAAGTAATGCCAAGCAAGCCAGTAGCCGTTAAGTACATAACTCCTTCGCTTATTTATACAGGTTACACAAGCTCATCTCGAACATAAATATAGGTGTGATAACGATTAGAAATATAAAAACGACCTAGGCGATGAATCCGCACAACTAGGAGACATTGCGTATATTAAGACATGGCGCGTCGGCTGCGGAAACGGCAACGAACACCATCCGCGGTTCCCTCGTCAAAGAGTCGAGACCTCACAGGGGAACCTGATTTACGACAGCACCACTTAGAAGCTCTTACTCGTCGAATACAACGCGTTGACGACATTTATAAGCAACGGACGCAGCAGAGACATGTAAAATGTCACCGTCTGCACACGTGGGGCTGGGTGATATCTATAGGAAAACTCCGGCGCGGGACGGTGCGGCGGCATCCCCGGAGAACAGTTATTAACAAATGTATTACAGGACACTATTCCCATACCCAGATAATACTGACGTGGTGTTAGGTCACAAGAGCTATTTTGGCTTCTAATTAGCAGCAGTGAAGCTTAACGACGTGAACGCACAAGCGTGCGTCGAATGCCGCACACGAAACGAAGTACTCCCTAACGATAGAAAACTGTAGAAACCAGAATACTTCTGTTACAGAATACGAACACGAAAACATGCACGCGCGCGCACAGACACGCCGCACGCACGTACACACATAACATTCACGGTGAGATTGAACTAAAACAGAAGAGCACCCGCTGAAAATCGGTTGATTAAAATGCAATCGCTTCGACTGACAGCGCGTTTTTTTTTCACTACCTGGTCCAGGGTTCACTTGAAGTTTGAGTACATCTCAAATGACTCCAGATACTCCAAAGCACAGTCATGGCAGAACTTGTACTGCTCCTGTAAGGGAAAGAGTTGAGTGACTTCAAAAAAGCAATCATTTCGACTACTAGCAAACCCACAATAAAGTACATGCCCAGTTAAACCCATGATACATGATGATGCAAGTAATTTGCAGTGGGAACAGTTGGCTAACAGTTAATTAATGACTGAACACTCATACATATTACTAATCCACTAACACTTTAGCATTACATATTTAGCACATTCATCGTAGAGATTAAAGGAGACTGTAGGTTTAGGAATTGTTTTCAGTTAAAACTCTCAAAAATATAGAACATGTCTATATTTAAAGATTGTATAAAACACAAGTTTAGGAATTATTTTCAATTGAAACTCAAAAAGTATTGAGAATATCATTAACGATTACTGGAAACTTTACGTGCGGGCTTAGAAATTACTTTCAGTTGAATGCCTCAGAAAATATTGAGCATGTCAATCACTAAATATTACAGAGGAATGTAGGTTTAGGTAATTATTATCGGTTGGGAACACTTGCCAGGTTCGTGATGAACTGGGGCCGGCGTATGCGCTGCTGCTTGACTATGTAGAACACATCCACGCTCTGTTCGACCTTCATCTTATCAATGACGCTGGCCACGGCGCAGTACACACCACTCCTCTCCGCACCATCGCTGCAAACACACACACACAATGCTCACATATAAATAAATAAATAAATAAATAAATATATATATAAGACCCTTAATGGTGCTGGCTGGCTATGGTGCAGTACACACTGCTCCTCTCCGCACCATTGCTGCAAAGACACACACAACGCTCATATATATACAAGACTTTTAATGGTGCTGGCTATGGCACTGTACACACTGCTTCTCTTTGCACCATCACTGCAAACACATCGTTATACTCACATGTACGGCTGTCCATGTGCACCAAGTATACAACACGTCCATCATTAAAGATTAGCAAAACGGTAAAAATTAATAAAAAAAGGTAAAATCAGTAAAAACACTACAAAAGGGGTAGTTGTAGGTTTAGAAACAATTTACAGTTTCATTTTGTTTAAATTGCACTGCACGCAGAATGTTTTTCCATTTATTCGTCCCATTCACTAGGACTACTTCACCCACCTTTGCCCTCAGTCAGAAAGACAAATCCATCATCATCACATCTCATCCTTTCTCATTCTAAACCTACTACCTCGCCCCAACCGGTCGCCGAAAGCAATCCTTCAGAAGATTCCCCCGCCCATGGACGCCGCGACGACAGACGGCGGGCGAGACTTGAACCCCGAACCCTGGACCCGGCACTTGACAGCTTGTGCTCTCACCTGCAGTGCACTGTGATCGGCTTGTTGCCGGACTTCTGCTGCCACTTCTCGACGTGCTCGAGCAGCGAGAGGAAGTTCTGTGGGTTCGCCGGCACCTCGCGGTCGCTCGGCCACGCGCGAAAGTCAAACTGCGTTATCAGTCGCGGCGGCAGCCGGGAATCCTGCGGAAACAACGTACGCGCTCTTCGTCAGATCTCGACGTTGATGAAGCCGCGATGTTTGTACGTAACAACGAGAGGCAGCCGGAACGGAAACCGTCTCTTATGACACACTGTGACACACGATAAATGATGCTGAAGCTTGCTGAAAGGTAGCATGTCTAGTCAAATATATCAGCACAGAGAACAGAGACACCGATCGTCATACCAACGTTCATCCATTCATCTCACACACAGTTTTGATTGAGACGCACTCATTCAGACAAACTCGCGTACCTACAAATATACTAATTAAATTTCAGAAACGAGGAACATAACGCAGTCAGTGATCTCACGAACGGTAACAAGTAACACGGGTCGTGGCTCGCTACCTTCTGTGTGAGTTGCAGCTGTCGCGCTGTGATGTAGTTTCCGTAGCCCGTCTGCACGACCAGCCGCACGCTGAAGTGTCCATACTCCTGCTCCACTCCTTCCTCGTTAGGCCAGTACTGACAGCATGTCTAGCGGGCGAAAAAAACAAACGTCTATCGTCAGCCACACGCATTCGCAAAGTCGTCTCCGCCCACCGCCGCCCCGCGACAGATTTCGTACGGAAATTTCCCCGTTATGTTCCGGAAATGAGAAGTCACGGTGGTACGGTCGGCGATTAGCATGTACAGCTATCGTGTTGAAGGCCGTGGGTTCAAACTCCCTGCGTGGTCGGGCCGATGAATTTTCACTGAGTGTTAAACCCTGGCCCTCTCTCTACATCAGGGACTCTGAATTCTTCTTAGCTATACCCTTATGTATTCATCTCAGCTTGGATGATTACACAAAATTGAAGACCTGTCTCCAGTAATGGGGACACAGCGAAGCAGCGAGGATGTAAAGCACTATGGAAGTAACCCCCCCCCCCCATTGTCAGTGTGCTGATACGACAACGTAATCGTTTTTACTCATGTTCATTGCTAACTTTATAGCTTCACGGTATCAGAAAGCTAAGTGAATCTACATGGGGTAGTGACCCTGGATCTGTGAAGAAGGAGCAGGAGGAGGAGGAGGAGGAGGAGGAGGAGGAGGAGGAGGAGAAGAAGGAGAAGAAAAAGAAAAAAGAAGAAGACAAGGGGGAACAGAAAGAGGAGTGGGTAGAAGAAGAATAAGAAAAAGAATAGGAAGAATGGTCTGTTGTTTTACCTCGTCCTCCATCGTGTCCAGGTTAATAATGGTCAATGAGCCGTGGTCGCGCATGAGACTCCAGAAGTCGTTGACAGTGTGAGCGAGCGGCGTCTGCGTCACAATGAAGCCATTACGCTGCTTGTAGCCCTGCGAGAACAAGCGAACGCCTCACTGTCACCGATCAAATCAAACCTGGTCGCTAACCCGGTGCTTTTTTATGCATAGTACACTTTTTTTTTGAAGTTTTGCCTTGCACTTTTCTTATTACAAACCAAATCAAATGTAGCTACAAATAAACGAACATTTTCGATGTACTTTCCAATTATAAATAGAATAAAACATAGTAGCTAACAAAGGTACATCTTCCGTACACTTCTCGCATTATGCACCGAATAGAATGAAGCTTTTAACAAATAAGCTTTTTTATGGTAATAAAAATAGCTTAAATATCTTTCTAATAAACCAATTTTCTAAATTCTATATACATGCATTTGTAAATACTATAGAATTTTAAACAATTTTATGTGTTGCACATTCTCGTTTCACGCTTGATCAAACAACATGAGCCCCTTGTACATAAGCAGCAAACCTGCACCTGGTAATTACGATAGATTCATGGCGAAAAATGTGCATTATACGAAGGAGGTGGTGATGTTTGGTAATCGGAAACGTTGACTGAGAAGGTGGATGGGGTAAGGAACCATTGAATGTAATGAAAAACTGAAATCTGCTGTGCAAGCTTGGCAGCACCCAGATTGGCAGCAATACTTACGTCAACAAATGTAGCATTTATGTAACTTGTGCCCTTAGTATCGTCAAATGTTATCAAAAAAGGAATACTGATATCCGCTGTGAAAACACAAAGTAGAATATTAGCAGGGAAAATAGTAAAATAAGATTTTTGACTCTCTCCCTTTTATCGTGAACATGTACTAGGCTAGGTTGTATTTGACACGAATAGACAAACTTAGAGAAAAAGGAAAAAAACTGTCAGAATGGAGAGATCAATGTTGATATCAATACTGAGAGAGAGAGAGAAAGACAGAAGAGGAGGGAGAGAGAGAGAAAGACAGAAGAGGAGGGAGAAAGAGAGAGAGACATAGAGAAAAAGAGAGAGAAGGAGAAAGAATAAGACAAAAAGAAAGATAAAGAGAAAGGACGAGAGAAAGAGAGAGAGAGAGAGAGAGAGAGAGCGAGTGAGCTGCATCCTACCAGGGACAATGGTTAAACATCTGTTCTTGTCCACGTTTTTGGGATCATGCGCTTCCTTACACATGTCTTCCTGTAGCACCGGGCTGACCATCTGTAACATCTGAAAATAGGTAAATCAATGACTCTGCTGCAAAATTAAGCTTCATGACAGCTTACAAGTTTAATCATCGTGACGTCGATAACTAAACCCATCACCTATCGAATTGTAAACAACAATGCTTGAAAATCGTCATGAATTGCATAGCTTATGAATTAATTCAGCGTAAAAAACTATTCATATATGTTACATGGAAAAAGTTATCATGGCTTATATTACGATCTCAATATATTATAGCAAATTAGTCATATCTAACCCTTATGCACAAGTATGAAAAATAGCTATACTGTATGTGTATGTTTCTTGCAAATTCTAAAATAACATAATTAAAAATAAAAACTCAATAACAATTATACACTCAACTGAAAATTGTAAAGATGTATTTCCCTACTTTTCAGTTTCTTTTACAAGTTAACGAACTAAAATTTTCCCGTACAGACAATCACAGAATTACGCAGCCAACACACAGTAAACCGATAATGCCGCTGAAGGTAAAAAAATGCAGAAAACTGCCGATCGATTGGCCGACCATACCTCAAACTGTTTTTCGATCTCCGACCTTCCTGCGGCCTCCGGCGCTGGCTGACACATCTGGTGGTAGCGGCGGTGAAACTCGGATGTCGGGATGACGGTGTCACCGCACTGCAACGCCTCTACAAGCGCGTCGTAGAGAAACACGTACTGCTCCTGTAATAAACGAGCGCGTCGTAGAGAAACACGTACTGCTCCTGTAATAAACGAGCGCGTCGTAGAGAAACACGTACTGCTCCTGTAATAAACGAGCGCGTCGTAGAAAACCCACCGTAAGTGGGGCTTCCTGTAATAAAAGAGCGCTGTCGTATAGAAAAGCACGGTATGGCTGCCTGTAATAAACGAGCGCGTCGTAGAGAAACACCGTACTGCTCCTGTAATAAACGAGCGCGTCCGTAGAAAACATCCGTACCCTGGGCCTCGCTTGTAATAAACGAGCGCGTCGTAGAAGAATCACGTACTGCTCCTGTAATAAACGAGCGCAGTGCGTAGAGAAACACCGTACTGCTCCTTAAGATAAACGAGCGCGTTTCGTAGAGAAACACGTAACTGCTCCTAGTTAATAAACGAGCGCGTCGTAGAGCAAAGACGTACTGACTCCTGTAAATAAATCGAGCGGCGTCGTAGAGAAACACGTACTGCTCCTGTAATAAACGTGGAGGCGCCGTGTAGAGAAACACGTACTGCTCGCTTGTATAAACGAGCGCGTCGTAGAGAAACACGTCCACTGCTCTGTAATACAAACGAGCGCGTGCGTAGAGAAAACGTACTGGCTCCTGTAATAAACAGCCGTCGTAGAGAAACACGTACTGCTCCCTCGTATAAACGAAGCGCTCGTAAGAAACCGTACGTGCTTCTGTAATAAACGTCCACAACGTAAAAACAGTACTCGAATCCGATGCTGCTATGCACGACTAGCCCGCAAGTAAATGTTAGAAAATTTGGCCTCTGTACGAGGATATTGTACGAGGTATAAATAATTTGAGTTCGACATGATACAGTGAGCCACGACGCATAGCACAATAGCAACATTTCGTACGAGTTCATTGTATTGTGTTGTTGAGGTTATTTGTACCTTGAAAATGCATAGAAGATATATAAAGCCCATAAACAGTTAAATATAGGCAGAATATTATTAAATAAGTGTGAAACAAACCATGTTGTAAACATTTTCATAACTAACAAATAGTTAGACTACGATTCACCACATATTTGCTATTCTGCATATCGCAGACGGAACACTGACATGATGAAACCTCATCACAGAATACGTATACGAACACATCAGATGCTATATTTTACCAGTGTTTGTATCATGGTCGTTCGCTTCTGTCGCATGTTCCACACAAATCCCAACAGATCTATCTGGTCTTCTGCTTTCGCTTGCTCCAACAGTGAGTCCAGAGCAATGTACGTCCCCGTTCTGCCTACGCCAGCACTGAAACAACGTTACGCACCGTTACAGTACTGACACAGACCGGGACCAGAGTGTTAGAAAATGAGAAAATCTTTCGTCGATTTTCATAGCGTGAATTTGCAGAGGTGGTCTCTGGATCAAAGACTGACAGGCAACGTGCTCAAACTTGTTTGGTTCCACATCAACCTGATGAAAAAGCCAAATACTTAACGCGTTCGGCCTAAACTCGTTTTTACTTGCGAACGATTCTATAGCTTGGCAATTTATATTGCAAGCAGAGTGGGAATGCTTTGAATATTTTAGATTTCTTTTTTATACATGCTGCTCAGCGCTTGAATGAAATGAATACAATCAACAAAGTTGTCGATTAATCACTACAAGCTTGGCTCCGACTTTTAAGCGTGCTTAAATCAACATAAAGGCTTCACATGGGTTAAATGACTTGATAATAAAACGGATTGCCGCCACGCACACATGCTCACACCCATATGTGATATGTGTGCATGTATAGATGCACACACGCATGAACCCACGTAGAGATGCACAGATGCTCATACACCCACGCACGCACGTACATATGCACCCACACATGCACGCACGCACGTATTCAACCACCCACCAGGCACGTACGCACTCACGCACGTACAGACGCACACACGCACGCACACAGGCACACACACCTGCAGTGGACGACGGTGATTTCGTTGTTGCAGTCGACGTCCGAGCGGACTTTGCGGCGGAATGAGAGCAGTGCGGTCGGGTACTGCGGCACCCCGTGGTCCGGCCACGACGTGAAGTGATACTGCTTGATCGTCTTCGCCGTCTCGCTCTCAATCTGTACAGAATACCCAAGTAGGTTAAGGGATAACATGAGTGAGAGAGACAGAAAGAGGGAGGGAGGAAGAGAGGGAGAGAGAGAGAGAGAGGGAGGGGGAAAGTGAGAGGTGGAGAGGGAGAGAGTGAAGTAACACAGCATGACCGACTTCGCAATTCCAAACTCAATTTGTACCAAACTAGAAACGGGCAGTTGTCGCCAACTACATGTATCCCCCGTGATCTAGTATGAATGGAATATCTCTGTAAGGACGTAGAAGGCAAGTAAAGTTAAATAAGTCACAAAGACAAAGGTTTGTTAGACAACTGGTGTGCCTCAGATGTGGAAGTATATGGAATCTGGTTACCCTAGAAGGCCGAAGAGGAAATGTAAGTCGACGGTGAAGGTCAAACTAAGGTCAAGGACAGTGGTGGTTTTGGTATGCGACCGACCTTCTCCCCAAGATGTGTAAACATACCAAGTTTAGTCGCGCTAGGTCAATTAGGGGCTGAGTCACACGCACGCACGCACGCACGCACGCACGCACGCACGCACGCACGCACACACACACACACGCACGCACGCA